GGGGGAGGCGGCTGTGGGCACCCTTCGTGCTGGCCTCCTTCCCTCACCCTCCCCCGTCGGGCTGGGCAGCGCCGGGCTAGCGACCCTGCTGCCTTTAATGCAACACACGCAATAAAATAAACCCCGGTTTGCTCGCTGACGACCCTGCTGGATAGAGAAGTCATAGCTGTGTTGCTGAGCTGGAGACTTTTTCTCTTCGTTTCTTCTCTTCTGCTATTGTTGCTGCTGTTTGAGGAAAACATGCTGACTGCCCTGAATTTCAAAAGCTGTTTGCTGTGGGAGCTGTAATTTAAAATGCAGCTAAATTTAAAACTGTATTCAAACTCTTCAGAATGCTGCTCCTATTTTTATCTTATGAAATGCTGAAACCTTACAGATCTTAGTGGCCTATATAGTGCCAAGTTACTCATAGCCTGGGTGCGAGTTATGTTCTGCAGCCTTCCAGAAAGAAAGTCATCTTGTCTTGGGGGCTTGAGCCTCTGTAGTATACTGCAGATTACTTGAAGCAATTACTTGCCTCTTCATATTGCTGTTTTTTCTATCCCTGAACTATGGAGGCATGAGGCTGCTCTTAATGCTCTAGGAATTAGTTGAGATGCATATGTCTTGATTAAAATGCTGTCTTTGTTTGTCTTCTTTGGGCTGCTAACCTCTGCTTGAAGGTGGAAGGAGAGGATTGGGCTGGTTATTTAGGTCCATTTTCTTGGCAGGAAGATGGAGACAGCAATGCTGAATTTGCGGAATCTATTTGATCAGCTTATGCGCCAGGCCGAAGTTTTAAGTGAGGGAAACGAATATCGTAAGTCCTGTCTCTGTGGGTAGTTCCAGTGGGCTGCTCTGTGTTTGCTGTGGGACTATAAACATGCAAACAAACATCAGTGACTGTTACTGGACAATCTGATGGAGCTGTGGGTGATGAGACTGATGTGGGTAGCCAGACTTGTGTGGGGGTTGGTTGATTGGTTTGTTTTTTCATTGTCTAGAAGGATGAAGTCACAGGCTGAACTGGGCAGGGCTGTGCTCTGCTTCTGTAGCAAGCTGACTTCATCCATGCAGAGTCTTGTATGTTCTAGCTCTTCTGGTTGATGCGAACGTGAAGGACTTGGTCTGAAATCTTAGTGAACATCTAGAGTGCAGTTGGCTTTGCTGAAAGGCCAGCTTGTCTGCCTCTTCTGTCAAGGGTGGGTTACATTGATAGATGCCTACTGTCAGCAAATAGAGGCCTGCTGCATTTCCTCTGCTCGCTTTAGCAACTAAAGATTGAAATGTTTTCTACCCAGAATTTATTCAGTTAGCAAAGAACTTTGAAGAGTTTCGGAGAAAGTGGCAGAAAACAGAGCATGAGCTTGCCAAGTACAAGGATCTTCTAATGAAAACGGAAACTGAACGTAGTGCTCTGGATGTGAAGCTGAAACACGCTCGCAATCAAGTGGACGTGGAGATCAAACGAAGGCAAAAAGCCGAAACAGACTGTGAGAAGTTGGTGAGTAATTCTTCATTACCCAGTTAGCTCATTAGACTGCAGAGAGATAGTGGTTAATCTGCATTGATCTATAGAAAATAAGGACTGGCAGCCAAGATAATTGTTTTTTTTTTTAAAAAAAAAAGGGGGGAGGGGGCTTGGCTCCTTGTAGTAGCCTTCTGCTTTGAATAGCCTTTTTCTAGGCCAAAGCCTATCAGCCGCTGTTTACAGGAGAGCTGCTGTTACCTAGCAGAGCATGGGCTGCTGTCGCTTTGTGGCCGTTAACGTTCTCCTGAGACAAGTTCTGAGAAAGACGATCTGTGCAGTATCTCAAATACTCAAGATTGGTTCATACGGTAATTAAATGTAGTCTATGCTGTGGCAGCTTCTGATGCTATCTACCTTTACAGGAGCGGCAAATACAACTGATTCGAGAGCTGCTCATGTGTGATGCCTCTGGGAGTATTCAGCTAAGTGAAGAACAGAAATCTGCCCTTGCCTTTCTTAACAGGCCACAGGTTTCTGTAGGGGGTTCAGGTAACAAAAGGTAGGCAAAAGAGCGTTTTGTCTAAGCAACATAAGTAATGTCAATTCAGCTTTGTGTACATCTGTGATCCTACTAACACTGCATTCATATGAGCAGAGTTTCACTCTGTATTCCACTTGGAAATAAAGCTCTTATGAGTCAGTAAGATTGTTCTGGAACTGTGGCTCACTGAAAGCCTAACTGACACATGTTTCTTCTAACTTTTTTCTTTTTAGGCTGTCTACAATTGATGAATCTGGCTCAATTCTGTCAGATATCAGCTTTGACAAGACTGATGAGTCACTGGTAATGTAATGCCAAGTACTGAAGCTCTCTTCAACTATAAAACCTTAAGGGTGTGGGGTAATCTCCAGAGAAGCATTGTTTAGAATACTATGGTATTAAATTGGTAGAGCTGATCTGCATTTCTTCAGTGTGCTGTTGGCTAAAAGGTAATGAAAGTCTGGCTGGAGGCTATATGGTATTTACACTGAGCTAACCAGTGGTGTGTTTCCCACAGGACTGGGATTCCTCTGTGGTGAAAGCTGTTAGACTGAAAAAGAGAGAAAAGCGGGTATGTTGAATTCTTTCCTTCAGATGGGTTCCGTTGTTAGCCTTAGGTGACACAATGTCACCATCTGTCATCTCTCAGCCCCCTGTATTGATTGCAATTAGTAGCTCAGAAGTCAGACTTCAGATGGATGTGCTTCTGCTGTAATTCAGACCTGCTGTGTGGATTTAGACTGAAAGTTAATTCTGATGTTGCTTGTCTACTGAAAATGACTGGGATGGAGTTCCAAGTATCTTGTTCTGATTTTGGCCTATGGTTTGCAGGAAAGCACTTTGATTATTAAAAGCCACCCAATTTGGGGAAAATTAATATTTCCTTGTTCTGTTAAGGGGCTTGTGATTTGTTATGGTCCACTATCAGTATGTGATAGGCATAGGTGGGGAAAGACAGCCTGTAATCTTCCCTGCTAGGGTTGGGAAGAGTCTGGAGTTTGCTTGGCTTCCCCTCTCCCCCCCCGCCCTCTAAACTGGTCCTGGTGGATTGGCTCACCAGGAAAACTACCTGAAAGGGCAATATATTGAGCATCAGAAAGCCTCCTTGGGGTTGTCCTGTTGCGTGAGCCTTTCTACTTGAGTTACAACAGGTACCATGGAAGAAGGACTTAACGCTTCTGTTGCGTAAGTGTGCAGACAATTATTTGGTCCTTCTAGTAAGGCAGTATCTATCGAAATTGGTAGCATGCCTGCCTAGTTGACAAAAATGCTACATCTTTTCAGCGCTCATCCAGGCAGTTCATTGAAGGCCCTCCAGGTCCTCTGAAGAAAACCCGATCAATTGGCTCCACAGTGGACCAGGTATGGTGGTTCCAGCTGGGTTCGTGTGATTCTAAAACACTTGATCATACTGTCTGCCTCTTTCCAGGACCAACAAACTGGAAGATCCTTGTCATGTCAGTTGTATGTATTGCTGTCACTAACTGCAGACTTCTCGTTACAGGGAAATGAGTCCATAGTAGCAAAGACAACTCTCACTGTCCCCAGTGATGGTGGCCCAATTGAAGCCATTTCTACCATCCAGACCGTGCCTTACAGCCTCAGAAGCCAGAGGAAAACTGGTAGGTGTCGCATTGGCATTTATCCCGGTCCTAAAGCAGTTAGTTAGGGGAGCATAAGGTATTCTGCGATATTACAATAATCTCTGCCAGTACCTAGGCAGCTGCCTCTGATTTACAGTGCCTTTTCTTTTGAAGCAAAGGTTACCCAGGAGAGTGATTCCATTCAATCAAGTATCCTTCTTCTCTTCTGTCTTCCAGGTACTTTACAGCCTTGGAACAGTGAGTCAAGCTTGGGCAGTAGGCAGCTAGAATCCAAATCGGAGAGCGATGGCTCCAGCACTCCACAGAACAATGCGGGAGTGAGGTTACATGAGTTTGTGTCAAAGACGGTAGGTCTGCAGGCAGGAAAAACTTGAGGGGGAGGGGAAAAAAATCACCTTCCATTAACCTTGCGTATTGATTTAATCAAAGGTAAAGGCTATTTGTTGGATATATTGCTATGTTCTCTGGGTTTATTCTGGTCCTCCTGTGAGCTAATGGGAGGCTGGTAATTGCTGGTCTGGGGCCTTGGCTGCATTGTGGGGTTGCGTGTGTGTATGTCTGTGCCATCCAAGATGCGGGACTGCAGTTGTGGAGGACTTTCCACTGCAGGTGGAATAACCCAGCCCACCTGGAGTACACAATTCACAACTCAGGTCCCGGTAAGTGAGAGCCTGTGATGGATGAGAATAAGCTTAATGAGTAGGATTAACATGAATTGGGATCCCAAGCTATTGACAAGAGGTTACCAGCCATTACTGCTTAACTTAGTATTAAGTGTCCCTGTTACTTGCGTGGGTCAGTGAGTGTATTATGCTATAGTGATCCAGCTCAACTTCTCCTAAGCTGCTACGTTGTGTTAATGTCTTCCTGGTCCCTGTGCTCTGTATTGCTAGGTTATCAAGCCGGAATCATGTGTTCCCTGTGGAAAGCGGATAAAGTTTGGAAAACTGTCTCTAAAATGCAGAGACTGCCGTGTGGTCACTCATCCAGAGTGTCGGGAGCGCTGTCCCCTTCCCTGCATCCCCACCTTGACAGGCACTCCTGTCAGAATTGGAGAGGTAAGGCCATGGCGTGAGCTCAAACAGCGTAGCTGCCAGCAGTGAACAGACTGGTGCTTGGTTAGAGTTGGAACACGTTCCCAGTGAGCTGGCTCTCTATAGAAGAGCTCTTGTTGCTCAGAGCCGTGTAATAAAACACAAATTACCTTGTTAAAGTATCCTTAAATACCAAGGATTGGTTTGGGGGGTGGGGATGTCCTGTAGGAGGGTGAGTTGTGTATGTGGCAGCTCTGGGTAGGCAATTCTCCTGCACTATGTTAATGAGTATAAGTGTCCCCCTCTCCTGGGTTTGTGAAGAAGAAAGGGTGGTTCTTAAGCCTAGGTCTCGGACTGGATTCCTGAGAGTATTTTCTGTGTCTTGAAGACTAAATATCACTTTTCTTTTTTTTCCTCCCCCTCTGCCCCTTAGGGGACCTTGATGGACTTTGTTCCGACTACTCCTCCAATGATTCCTTCCATCATAGTGCACTGTGTTAATGAGATTGAGCAGCGAGGGCTACGTGAGGTAAAAACAGAATGAGGAGTGAAACGGTACTAATGAAATGGGTCGTGGTGTTAGAGAAACAAATTAACACAAAGGTTTCTTATTTATGGTGCGTGCAGTGCTGCTCAGTGGGTGACTAGGACTGAGCAGCAGTGTCTATGTCTGAGTGTTCAGGTGTGGAGAGAAAGTGGGTGCAGAAGAACATAGGCTTTATATGTGCTATTGATATTCTGCCTCTGAGCAATGCCTTCTGCTAACAGATGGGCCTTTACCGGATATCTGGCTGTGACAAGACAGTGAAGGAGCTGAAGGAGAAGTTCCTTAGAGCAAAGAATGTTCCTTTGCTCAGTAAAGTGGATGATATCCATGCTATCTGTGGCCTTCTGAAGGACTTTCTACGCAGCCTAAAAGAACCCCTTCTCACTTTCCGGTTAAACAAGACTTTTATGGAAGCTGCAGGTAAAGGGAAGCTAAATGGCCTCTCCAACTCTTTCGCTAGGCTTGATGGTCACAGGTTTGTCTGACAGATAAACTGACAGACCTCAGTGCTCTGCAGAGCCCTCTTGCTTGCAGTTGTGTTGATGATAGTGTGTATGTTAGAAAGATCTCACTTCTGCTGTACCGTTTCAAGAAAATACTTAGCTTTAGTATATTGTGAATTGTTCCGTCTAGAAATCTGCAATGGCTGTATCACCTGGACTGCAGCTGTTAGGTGATATTGGTCCTTGCTTTAGATTCATTTCTGCATTAGAAGCTGCATTGTTTCAGTGGATCAGTAGCCCCGTTGCGCAGTACCCCTTTTAACGGGCCAAAGTCTGGTGCAGTCTTGATGCAACCTTTAATGTTTGTATAGAGAACTCTAACTGGAGGCAGCAATAACCTTGTGCCCTAGACCTCAAAGCATTAAATGCTGAGGTTAAGTCATAAGAGCACATTGGATGTGGCTAGTGGTGATCTTCTGGAAGAGGAAAGAGACAAGTTCTAGTGCTTGGGCAGGATATGAAATTGTTAAAAGCGGCACGCTAAGCTTCTGGGTTCCTTGTTCCCCAGGCCAGCTTGTACTGTGAGGGGGATGTTACACTTGTGCCTCTGGGACTACTTTGAGATTGACTTTTGTGCTCTCTTTCAGAAATCTTGGATGAGGACAACAGTGTTGCTGCTATGTACCAAGCGATTGGTGAACTTCCTCAGGCCAACAGGGACACTCTAGCTTTCCTCATGATTCATCTGCAGAGGTAAGTTCAGATGGACTGGTATTTCTGAAAAGGGCATATAACTGTGCCACTGGTGCCCCTTCTAATAGGTGGTTGCTACTGGTTGTGATCGTGAAGTCTTTATTCTGGAAGAACTTGCTTATTCAGAGGCTGAAGTGGGGAGGCCAGGGGGCGTGCGTGTAAAGGTGAAGAGGCGTAACTATGCTCTTCTCTCCATCTAGAGTGGCTCAGAGCCCAGAGACTAAAATGGACATTGCCAACTTAGCCAAAGTCTTTGGCCCTACAATAGTCGCCCATGCGGTGCCTGACCCTGACCCTATGACACTCCTGCAGGACACGAAGCGGCAACCCAAGGTAGGCTAGCAGGAAGGACCGACTTGGGGGAAGTATATCTTATTTGGAGAATTGGGATGGATTGCTGAGGGGGCTGAGGTCATGTCTGTCTGTCAATGTTAAAGCTGTGATATTTGCCCCTCGCGGGTGTTGCCGTAGGTGGTGGAACGGCTTCTGCTGCTGCCAGTGGAGTACTGGAGCCAGTTCATGATAGTGGAGCAAGAAAACATTGATCCGACGCACATAATTGAGAACACGAATGCCTACTCCACTCCACAGACACCAGATGTTAAAGGTAACAGCTGGTTGTTACTCTGGCTGTGCAGGCACTGTAATAAAAATAATGGCTTTCAGTTAAAGATGCTTGTGAAACTAGAACGAGCCCTTCCTTCATGCTTTATGGAGGAAGAACTAAAATGAGGAATGTGCCAGGAAACGCCAGATTTGTCTAGTATCTCTGACAGACGTTAGAAAGCGTTTAGTGTTCCTCGCACAGCAATGCACGCTCAGCTGTCCTCCTGTTGCTCACTTCGCTGCCTCTCCTCACAGTGAGCATACTTGGGCCCCTCACCACCCCTGAACAGCAGCTGTCCAAGACACCCTCGTCCAGCTCCCTGTCCCAGAAGGTCAAGTCAACCTTCAGCAAAACTACCCCTAAGTAAGTGGTGCTGTGATGGTGGGATGACTGCAGGTGGTGTTGGGGGTGCAAGTAGAAGTGAAAGTAAACTTTTTGGACCAAGTTTTGGGAGCAGCTTGGGTTTATTGCTCAGTCAGCTTTCCCTTACTGAATGCAGTAGTAGCAGTGCGGAGTGAGCGGTGGCTAACGAGTGCCCCCTCACGGTAGGGAGAGGGAACGCTCCGTGTGGGAGGAGGGTGCAACTGCAGTGAATAACCACGGGGAAAAGGGTTGAAGACTTCTGTGTCCCCAATCCAAAACTGAGACTTTCTGCTTCCCTTGAACTAGATTTGGGAGCAAAAGCAAGTCGGCAACCCAGCTTGGCCGTCAAGGCAATTTCTTTGCCTCTCCGATGCTGAAGTGAAGTGGACCTGGGGCCTTCAGTGTCATCGTAGTATTTGCACACCAATATGCATGAGTACAATAAAAGTGAACTCCTCTGTGCAGCCCTTGGCAGCCTTGTGTAATAAGAACTTTCTCCTTTTATCTATCAGCTTAACTGAGGCTTTTAATGGGATTTTTATTGTGCAATGTATTTTATCAAATGCTATACTACACGTAATATTGGTGAAGAGAGTAACTAGCAGGCTTTGTTCAACATTTTAATAAAAAAAATGCTAGAAGAATCACTTATGTTTTTTAGTAGCACCTTGTCCTCTACCTCTTTGAAGTAGAACATTTATGGAAAGATTTAAGTCTCCTGGAGCTCGAGGCTGCTCTTCACACCAGCAAAAGAGAAGCTGTACTTATTTGGGAAAATGTCTGTGTTCTGGAAGGCAGTGACCACTGAGCTCTTCCCCTCTCATCTGTTTTTCAGTGAAATCGGTGACAATGGTCATTTGACCACACTTTGCTCTTGGCATCCAGTCTTCCACCATGCACAGAAGTTTGCTCTGCTTCTTGACTTGTGCTGGTGCTTGTGTAGCCTCAAATTCTATGGGTGGTGATGTTATTGTTGTCTTGGGGGCAAGAGCTCTTTAGTTGCCACAGGGACTGTGACTTGTTCGAAAGGAGCTTTCACCAATGTTGTGCTTCCCAGAAGAAATCTTGTGGAGGACTGTCTTGGGAGGCAAGGCCAAAGGATTCTTGGGCCCTCTAAATAAATTACTAGCGCTGTTTGTACTGGCATGGGGGACGGGTTTAATAGTGCCCTTAAAAATCTGGTTTCCCAGACCGGAAGACACTAGTTTAGCTAGCGCTGCTTGAAGTCCTGCAAAGCGTGTACAAAAGCTTATGGATTGTTTTTACTGAGCTCCTGGAAACTGTCCTGATACCCAGTAAACAGTGAGGCGCTATTGTAACCAAAGGGTCTATTCTCTGGCTTGTGTTTTTTTTTTTCTTGTTTTGTGCAGTTTGAACTAGGGCCTGTGTTGCCTTACAGAAAGTAAGGGGGGGGGAGGCTTGGTGGCTCTGTGGATGAGCAGTTGTGTCTCATCTCTTGTCTGAAAGACCCAGGGTGAACCTGGCACCTTTAGCTGCTGGGGTGCAGGGTCGGGCACCCTTGGGTGCTCAGCAGGGGCTCCATCAGGCTGTGCAGGTCCCTGGGGGCAACTGGAGCACTTTCCCTTGTGGAGGTAGGGAGCCCTGGCCACACAGTGTTGCCACCTTTCCCCCCCCCCGCCGGGGGGGGGGCCCCCGGG